GATAATTAACACATACGTATTTATCATTCTTACAATATTTTCATGAGATTTACTTAAAATTTTTTGAAAACGCCTCGATATAATAGATATGCAAATTTATATTTTCATTACGAAAAATATAGATTATTGAATTATGTTATATAACTGAATAGTGGATCAATTTTTATAATATATAAAATGTTTAATTCATTTCACTTTGTTCAATTTTCAGCAACTTCTCCACTATTTTCTGTGTATAGATTACAGTAACTTACAGCATAAAGTTTACAGCACCGCACAAAGTACTGTGCAATCATATAGTTTCACGTTTTACTATTATTATATATATTTCCCTCAACTGCAACGAAGATTATCGGCGTGGAAATTATCGAATTGCGACACGACAATGAGCGAAAATCGGGTCGGTCGGCGACAGTGCGCCAGAAATCGATTTGTCGCCCTCGTGAGCGTCGCGACGCGGCGCGTCGCGTTGCGTCACGTCGCATCGCATCGTGTCGCCTTCTAATTTTGTCTTTCGCGAACGCGATTGATTTTCTTTGCGGACAGAAATAATTTTGGATGTATTGAGAGAAGCGATCGATCGAATCAGAAGACCGGGATGGTCTTCTGAAACACGAAGGAACGTGATTACACGAGAGAAGAAATAGCCGTCCGACGATCCCCAAGCCATTTGATGAAAGTTACATAAGGCATTTATATCATAAGAGGATCAGCAGAATAATAAATTCTAATATTTAATAAATTTAGACGAAAGTGAAATTAAATTTTTCTATAATTAATGTGGTTGTACTAAAAGAAAAGATTGGCTGCTGCAACAAATAAGATGGTAAAATATAGCATATTATTTTTAACTGGTTGCAGCAGCTAATTTTTGGTTGCGTTAACCTATATGCAATATCATAGAGTAATTCCAGTATATACGCCGCATCAAACAAAAACTTAATTTATTAAGTATTATTGTACTATTTTTAAGATAAATGAATTATATCGTACTGTCTAAAAAACTTTGTGCTGCCTACTATGAAAACAATATTAGAAATCCGAAATACTTATTTTTTGTATTAAAAAGAAGAACTTTTAGAAATCCTTGCGTTTTTGCCGTATATGCCATAGGGATGGGATATATGGCTACTCATAGGGGGAGGAGTATGTACGCCTCATAAAAAATTTACAAATAATGCATATAAATAAGACGTAAAATGACCCAAAAACTTCTTATAAAGTGCATTTATAAAGTTTTATTAAGGAATAAGAATGATAAATATGTATATGAAGTAATAGATAATAATTACAATTCTATATTATAAGTACTATTACATGAGGTATACATTTCATGTATATATTTATTGTATTTAGTGCACTGAATCTGCACACTTTGTATGCTTTGGGCATAATCTCATCCATTAAAAATGCCGTATATCCCAACAAAGAATACAAGAACAAAGCACTTGTATTTTTTTATATAATATGCTTTATTATTCCTCTACACTTATGTATCATGAAATAATCACTAACTTTTTAACGCGCCCAATTATAATCATTTTATATAGATTATAATTTATGATGACGCTATTTATTACAGTGACAAATCGATTCAATAATCTCATTAATATTAACAGTAAAAAACTAAAATTATAATACAATACTAATGTAACATAAAGACATATAACAGAGTAATTGCGGGAAAATTATCTTCATTCGTTCTATTTTTTCTGACTTCTGCATAGGATAAATCCCAGCGCGGAGTATTCACTGGAGTTATCCTATAGGATTTCGATAGGCACAACCAAAAATTGGTTACTGCAATCAATTATAATAAAAATGCTATGCCATATTCAGTCAATCTGTTCTTTTAGTGTGATCATTAACAAAACTATCAAATATTGTATATAAATATTTTTAAATAATAGGAAAGTAAATAATGTAAAGTAATGTTGGAATAATCGAGATTTAATAAATTACAATATTTGGTAAAATAAAATTAAAAATTAATGTTAAGATTTAATTAAATAAAGTTAAATATTATAATAGAATCGTATTTATATTATATTATATTATAATCGAATCATATTTATAACATATTTATAACATATTATAAAAAAATATAAATTATATAAGAAAGGAATATAAGAAAATATTTCTGGAATGAAAAAAAGAGCATTTTTTAATAAGTAATCCTAAATTCAATAAAGTTGAGAAAGAAAAATTAAAATTTTAGAGTTAATATTAAAACAATTCCGCATTCATAAAAATGAGTAAATAAATCAAAATAGTATATAAATATTCTAAAGACACATAAGTATTAAAGTAATTTAATAATTGTATATTTAATGTGTAAAAAGAGAGAGAAAGAGAGAAATCTCTCATTTTCTTATAATCACTTATTATAATGTTACATAATAACTCTTATTATAATATTATTGCAAAGTAGTTATCTTATGAGACCTGTTCCCAAGTTTAAAGTTAGTTAATAATCAAGATGAAATTTCGCTCATTAACCAAATTTTAAATCCTTTCGGCTATGTGTTTTAAACTTGTACAAAGATAAAACAAAAAGTAAAGCCAAAAAGTTTCTCACCCGCATGTTTTTAAGGATAAAGCGAGAATAACAGATCAGATAAAAGTTACAGTTTAATTTACGCGTTTATATACATGGCACAATACCGATGTAGAATTAATCTACTTATTTTCATTAAGCTAAAAATCTTTAAGAGGATGCTGGAGTGCCTGTTTTATCATTAATTATTAAAGACTCTTATCTCTTAATTGTGTTTATGGATTGAAAAGTCCTTCTCCACAATTAAAGTATCGACAACAACGTAATTCGTCAGCTACAATACGAAAAACGAAAGAAAATTGAATACTTACAGTTTTGCTCGGCTTCTGTAGTCGATAATCGATCACAATATGTGCTGCATATAAGAGCATATTTCAGATTTTGCACTTCATAAAAAGTAGCTGGCGAATTGCAGAAAACCTGAAAGAATAATCCTATGCTTTTAGAAACAAGGTAGGGGCTTTAGTATAAGAGAAAAAAATTGCCGAAATTTCATTTACGAGTGATTTATATTACGAGTGAAATTGACGTGAAGCCATGAAACCGAGCAGTATTTTAGTTCCGCGATATTCCGACAACGGCGCTGTCATGAAACGTGCGTCGCTGAATTATAGAAATGATCTGAATTATCAACCTACTCAGACCCATATCAAATAATGTACGTGTAATAATATACGTGTAATATTGGGTTGTCCGGAAAGTTCGTACCAATTTTGAAGGAAGATTGAAACGCAGAAGATTTAAATTTTAGTATACCTTTAAATTTAAATCTTTTGCGGCACGAACTTTCCGGACAACCCAATAATATGCATGCGAGCTTGTGTATTGATGTCAAAATTTATAAGGTTTTGACCTTTTTAGTATCTGATCTTCAGGCTTAAAGATCTGTCGATTAATTTTCTTGTTGTAATATGTTTCTTTGATTTTTCTTTAGCTTTGACATTTTCACAAACATTTATCTATATGGAGTTGAGTGACAAGATTTATTAGATAATGTAATTAGATAATTTGTGATTCGGTACTAAAGATTCGTTTAAAAATATTCGAACTATTTTTCCGAATATTAATTCGTATGGAGTGTGTTTTGTTGCCTCATGTATGTTAATATTGTAATTAAACATTGCAAGGCTGATCCATCTATCCTATTGTTTTTGCGAATTTGCATATTGTTTTAAATATTCGCCCAAAAAGTATGATGCGATCTTTCTAATGATCCATTCGATTGTGGATGAAAAGCGGTTGTGCGGAATTTGCGTATTCTGAAAATTTTTGCAACTTTTTTCATTAAGTCGCTGATGAAATTTCTTCTTTGATCGATTAACATAGCCTTTAATGTTCCTAATACGCAAATGAATCTATCTACAAAAGCTTCTGTTATTGTTTCAGAAGTCTGATCTAGTATTCCCATGCAAAATTTCGTTAATTGACTTGCAAGGTTAAAAGATTCATTACCTTTTTCTGTTTTTGGCAGAGATCCTATGATGTCCATTGCTACTTTGTTAAAAGAAGAAGAAGAAAGAAGAGGCGTGTCGGTAATTATCATTGGTTGTTTAGTTTTGACTCTTACTAATTTTTTCAATTGGCATTGCAAACATTGCTGAATATATTGTTGAATATCGGATTTTAGATTTTCCCAATAATAATTGTGTTTTACCGTGTAATATGTTTTTGTAACGCCTCGATGTCCTCCAGTGGGCGAGTAATGCATTTCGCCGATTATAATAGACCGAAGATCTTTAGGTGGATATTTGATTAATCCATTGCATATAATTAATTTAGTTGTTGAATCAATGGAAGCTAATTGTAACAAAGATTTGATATCATTCCATGGTACGTTATTAACAAAATCTGTTTTTGCGATACTAATTGTTTCTATTTTAATTTTCCAACGATAGTTCGTAAATCTTTAACCACTATAGAAATTTGAGAGAATCGTCGGATCTTCACGGGGTCTTTCGTTAACAGACAAAACAACATGGTAATGCTTTTCATATTTTATAACTTTGGCTTAGCTTTATCTCTTAGATAAGGAATCTTGTTTCTTTCGAAAAGTTTCTGAGAGCCTGAATCTACTGGTCTTCCGTCGGTCAACAAAATAAGCAATATTATCCTTACGTAGAAATAATAAATCGCGACTATTTATTATATTATTTTTAGTTATCTTTATTTTTGAGCCTTGATTTTTGTTATTTTTATCCGATTCTTCGTCTTTGTCATTGATTCTTGCATCTTCTTCGATATCTCTTTCCTTGTCTGGTGGATTATTTCTATTTTCTACTTCTTCAATTTCATTTTCATTTCTCTACGATAATATATATTATCGATATTTCTTGTCGAACATTCTTATTTTTTGTTTGACTTTGATTCGTGTTTTGCATTCTATTGTAATTAGATGGCTCATGGATTAATGCTTCTTCGCTAATTTGTAATCTCAGTGGCTCACACAGTTTCTTCATGTGTGAATGATATTGAGTCTGTATTTTCGTCAGACAAATTATCATCGGGCATTTGATCTTCATCTTTCTTGTCGTCGAAAAGATATAATTCAAAATTTTCGTCCTCTTCTTGTTCATCGGTTTCTTCTAATATTCTAGAAATCATTTCTACGTCTTTCGGATCGAAGACTTAAGAATCTATTAGGGTTAATTATTTTACAATTTATTTCTTCGAGGACAGGATTTCTTGATAGAACATCAGCATTTACGTTAGTTTTACCTGCTTTATATACGACATCATAATCATATTCGGCAAGTTTCAGCGGAATATTCTCATATTTGCATCTTGCGTTCTTAAACCAAAGTAACGATTTATCTATAACCAACGTGAATTTTCGTCCGTATAGATATGGAAATGTTTAACACAATATACTATTGCTAATGCTTCTTTTTCATATATATCATATTTTATTTTTTATGTTGTCAGTTAATGTTCACGAAACATATGCTATTGGTTGGTCTTTATTTATTTCTCCTTGTGATAGGATATCTCTTACGGTTATTCCAGAAGCATCTGTCGTAAAAATGGTTGGAAAGATTTTGAAAAATCATATATTGTAAAACAAGCTCTTCGCATAATCTTTGTTTTATGTTTCAAATGATTCTTTTTGAAACAATGGATGTCCATTTGAAAGCTGTGTTCTTTAATAAGTTCGTGGTTTCGCTAATTTCGAGAAGCTTGGTATAAATCTGTGATAATATCCTATTAATCCTAGAAATTAATATTTTTTGGAATCTTACGTCTCGGAAAATGCCTCACGGCATCTAATTTTTTTAGATCCGATCTGACTTCATCCTTGTTGATTACGTGCCCTAGATATGTTATTTCTGTTTTCAAGAATTCGTATTTATTGGCTGTAATTTCAGATTAGTTTTTCGGTCTATTAATAAATTATATTTTCTTGCGTGATGTGGCGTATTTGAAATGTCTATGTAAACAAATAATTCCTGGTCTTGTAATATATCCTGATATAACTAGATCTATTAACTTTTGGAAAGCAGGAACATTTTTTAATCCGAAGCGCATGTGTTCAAATTCGTAATGCCCGAAAGGACTTGAAAAGCGATTTTATGATTATCCGCAGAAAAGCGATTTTATGGTTATCCGCAGAATCCATTTTTATCTGATGGAATCCAGAAGTTAAATCACAGAAAAATATTGCTCTGCCTAATTGATCTAGAATGACAACAATATTAGATAATGAATATTCGTCTCCGACAGTTTTTTCGTTCAGAACGCGAAAATCTAATACCATTCTCCATTTCTTGTTTCCTTTCGAATCTTTTTCAGAACTATTTATGAGCATATTGTAAGGCGATTGAGAAGGCTTTACTATGCCTCCTTCGAGCAATTCTTCGACTTGCTTATTTATTTCCTCTTTATGAAGTTGTGGAAATCTGTCGTGTGTTTACAGGTCGATTGTCTGTTGCAGATATTTGATGTTGCAATACATTAGTTGCAATTTTTCTCCAGGAATATGAAATCTGTCCTAGATATAAGATTTTGATCATGAATTACGCTATTACTTCTTGGGATTGAACTTGCGTCGATGCAGAAATTTTCGAAGATGGTTATACTTTTCTTTTCGCAATTATAGAAGAATCTGATATTTAGATCATATAATTGTATTATTTTCACGAATTCATTCAGTAAGGTGATAGGTTTGATTATTATCCATGGATGTTCCAACCCTGGAAAATTTAATTTCTTCTTGGAGTATTAAAAAGTCCTTTCCCTTAGATTCTTTTAAATAAAATTCACATTACGTAGTGAGATTTGATTACTTTCCTCTTCGCAATCGACAAGAGTAGAATTTACTATAGAGGTACGGAAACCTTCCTCTGGAATTCTAGAATTATTCAAATTTTTAGGAAAGGTCTGGAAATTTCCCTCTCCCAGGATCTTGAAATTAACTTGACTTTCAGGAGAGGTTGATAATTCCCCCCTCCGTGGATTTTGAAATTTAGAGTCTCGGTGAAGGTTTGAGAATCTTCCTCTGAATTAGAATTTTTATTTAATTTTTCATTTCCTTTAATTTTTAATTTCTTGAATTTTCTCCTTTAACTTTATTCTAATCCTTATTTTGGGTAATGTTATTAGTATCCTTCTTTGCTTCATTTAACATCATATTTTCTTCAATTTCAATTTTCCCGTCCTTATTATTATTCATAGACGTCTTTGTCATTTTTTTAAATCGGCATCGTAATTGGGTACTTCATTATGTTCTTAGTGGTTCGAATATGTAAAATCGACCTGTATATCCATAATTTCTGTTTGATCGTCTTGCGTTTTGATTTTTAATTCGTGATTATCGAATAATTCATCTAGAGGTTTAAAACGCAAGATTGGCACTTGAACTTCTACTTCTTCGTCCAATGTGCTTATGACGTTTAGATACGCTTCTCCAGAGACATTTTCTATTATGGTGTCTCCTAAATAAATTCGTGAGCTATTTTTATTTCTGGCATATATCCAATCTTTATTTCAGGATTTTCTACTCTGACGTAAAATAAAGAGCGCGGATGCAATAATGATTTCTGGTGACAAGAAGGGTATCTTTATTCCCGATGTATCTAGATATCCTTTCGCGTAATCTATTTTTGAAGAATTCTGTTCAAAGAAATCATTGCCTAATATGCCGAACTGTGAGATAGGAAAGTCATTAGATACGATATAAAAAAACTTCTTTTCCAAAAACCGATAAAGTTATTTTTCCGAGGGTATAGACAGGATATTCATTTATGTCGTTTAACATTAAAATATTATTATAGTCAATAGTGCTGCCTTTAGGTATAAAAGTTTCTTTTTAATTCGAATTGTTCGATTCTGAACCGGTGCCTAGCATAAGAGTTATGACTGAAATTGACCTGCAAAGATTTGCTTCGACAGTAGGCACGCGCATACTTGGAGGACTCGAAGCACGATCGAGGTTAATCTGATTCCCGCGGGTTATTCACTTCCGTATCGCGATAATCAAAGATAGTCAAGAATAATAGCCTTGTGTCGCGATGGCAGTATTGAATGTTCCGTTTAATTCAAGAGAACAATGTTTTTTCCCGTTAGGACATTTATTTTATTTTTTTTCTAGAAAGAATAATATCTGTTCTCTATTTTTTTATTCTATATGAAATTAATTCAATATTCGAATATTTGAGATATTCTATATGGAGCAATACATCCAAATATCATAAAAAGTTTATATTAATAATAAAAAATACGTGTGTATCGTAAATAATATTTGCAGTTGAAAAGTCCTTTAAGAATTTTTCCCAGAAGGATCTTCTTTGGAGAGCAATCACTAGTCTTCTTCTTCTTTTAAATAATTAGATGGTCAAAAGTTTATCGGATAAATTGGTTTTAATTCAATAAATTATATGAATCAATACAACGATCTTATCACTTCAATCTACGGGACAAAAGTCAACAGCGCATTTTTCTTTTTATAAACAACCGTCGTGGAGTAATGAGTGCAGAGAATCGAGATGGCCAAAAGTTTAAAAGTAGTCGAAAAGTACAAATGGCGCAATGGCGCATCAATAGCGGTAAAAGATTATCCATTTCTTACACAATATATAACATTTCATCGCGTTTAAATATCTTTTCTTTTTAATTTTCGATTAAATTTTAAATGTCCTGAGAAATGGCTAACATCTTTTTTGAAGAAGTAAGGCTTCTCGTTAGTACAAAGGAACTTTCTGGACTGATCTTCTATCATCTCATCTATCTTCTCTGGATCGATATGATGCGATCCATCATCATACAATATAAGCATAAAGATCTCTTCCATGTGGAATTGATGATGTATTCGGACGTTCCACCTACGAAATATCAGCGTCAAAAATAAATATGACAACACAAGTCCGATACAAATGGAGAAAACGACGATATTGTTGTGTTACAAAGCCTCTGGCATCAAAAAGGTTATTGATCTGCTGTTTCTTATCTTTCTCGCTATGATAACGGGTAAGAATTACATATATAGTCACAGTGAAGACGCCTTCAATAAACATCAGTCTCTTCAGAGAATGGTTGATCCAATTGAACTATCTCATGTCGAACAATGATCGCAGAACTTTGTTATTTTTGCATAGAAATCGCATCGACGCTCTTCGAGATCTCGAACTGAGTAACATTAAACATATCTTTTTTCCTGATGACTTTCTGTCAATGTTGAAATTCCTGAAGAGAGATGTCTTCCATTTCGTGAAGATGACTTACAGAAAGTATGTTCACGAAAAGACGATTAATTGCTTTTAAAATTACAGTCAAAATTAAAATATTCTGTAAAATTTTATTAACTTTTAACATAATATAATTGTTTCTAAATTATAAATTACTTTGTGATGAATTTTATAATCTCTCGCAGCATGAGTAAAATAATAAAAACAGTCGCAATTAATTTATTAGGTTACGAAAGATTTTAAATTTATTATGTGATAAAATTCATCACAAATATTTATAATTTAGAAATTGTTGTGCTAATAGCTAATAATTGATGGCAGAATATTTTAAAGAACTGAAAAGGATACGGATACACTAGGAGTGTGAAACTTTTTTATTCACTAAAACGTATTATAGCGAACGTATTATAGTTTTGGTGAATAAAAAAGTTTCATAGCTATTATTTGCGTGATGTCTTCTGTGCTTGATTTCTATTGCCCGCATCCTTTCCAGTTCTTTGATTTATGAGGAGTCTTGATTAATTTAATTTATTATTCAGAATATTTTAATTCATATTTGATTCTTCTAAATCTTTTTCATTTTTATTGCTATATCAAGATATAAACATTCAATAAATTTTAAAACTTTAAAGTTTGAAATAATAAAATAAAGATTTTCATACGTTTCGTGCAAAAGATGCAAAAAGGCAATAAATCCGAAGCAATCTACAGTAATTTTATTTGTAAAACATGAAAATAATAAGATATAAAATTGTCAATGAAAATTCCGTTAAATTCAGAATTTCTCTTATCACGTTGAAATTACTTGTGGAAAATACCTCTTGTTAATAAACAGAAGTTCACGCTTCAAAGACTTAATTATCTCGCCTGCAACTGGGGAAATATTCATCGTAGGTATGTAGAAGGAATCAGAGAAATATAGACACTGTGGAATGTTGAGAACGTAGTGAGAAACTTGATGGAAGCGTGGCGGCGAGTTCCGTATGACCTCATTATCCAATGACCAATTTTTAACGAACAAGCTTTCGAACTGACGATTGCTAGAAATCTGTTACGATGTATGGAAGGCTCCGGAGACGGAAATATCTTTCAGGAAGTTCGTTACATTCGACGATTATCTTACAGCCAATGCACCGCAGAAACAGTATGAATCTACCAGGAGAAATCACAGCTATAAGCTCTTAAGACTCGAATCTCTAAGGAAGCCAATAAATTCAACAATCTGTTCGATTTTGCTGACAATTCAAAAGAAAAAGATTGTTGATCATGCAATAGTGAATGAAATTTCTAAAATAACTTATGAGAAAAAAGATATTGATTGAAAGAGAATAAACCCGTTAAAGAGATCGCCTGACAAGACTCAATTAAACGAAGAACTTTATGAGGAAGCTAAGCTGAGCAATGAATCAACGTCGAGGGAAAATGAAGATATCGTCATTATTCTGTCAGAGAGGCCTCCGAAAGTCATCAACATCAAAAGTATAGCTCGGACCTCTAAATCCGGTGATGTCTACTTGACTATGCAAGCGAGCGTGAACGAATCCAGGATAAATACAGAATAATAATCTGATAAAAGTGAATATGACAAAACAATCAATGAAGAGAGATGTAGAAATAATCGAGTATCGAGCAACGAGCGATCAATCGAATCTCCGGAGGTTGGCAATGTGAATAACGACGATATCACGTTACAACAAGTGTTACAACAATACATCTGCCATTGATTCACAATTAAATACAAAGAAGCGAAGATGGTTTCCTGCTCCATTCTAAGAGACGAAGGAGGCCGATCTGGACGGAAATGTCAAGAGTTCCGGAAGTTGTTGAAAAGATGTTCTGTCGATGAATCTCTAATTCTAGCGATTGAGCGGAAAAGATTGAGATCTGATTCTAACTGAATGAAGCAGTACGAGACGACGTTCGTCTTCGGTCCGTTTGACGTAGCGCGAACTGTAACTACTGTTTCCACCGACACATTCATGATTAGTGATAGTAGTGTACCATAACTGAGACTAAGACGCTCATGCGAAACGGAGAGGAATATCTTCATTATAAATCCCAGGAGAGATTAAATCATTACATCATTTTACAGTGAGTGTACTTGTAAACATGTTCCTTACTGTAAATATATTTTTTGGAAAAAGGAACAAGATAATAACCGTAATATTATAATTATCTTACATTGTTGCGTTGAACAATGATACATCTCAAAATTAGCAACTTTTTAGTAGAGCATTTTTCAAATTCTTTCTAAATTTTAGAACGTTTTAATTAAGATAATGATAAAACTTTATTTTCTTTTCTATGTTAACTTTATTTTCTTTCATATGTTATATAATATGTATTCTTTAAAATTATATTATGAGTTATATTATTTTTCAAAATTCGACCAATGCGACCTTAATATAAGATTGTGTATATTTCGTTCCTTATTAGAATTGTGATATTTTTCCATATAAGCAATATGTTGACAAATAACGTGTTTTATCGCAAAAATATATTAGTTTCTTTGTAAGTCAATTTTTATATTTTCTAAATATTAATTTTTTATTTATGTCACATTTCTATCAATGCAATATATATAAAATATTTTGAAATTTTACAATGGAGATATAAAAAAAGCAATAAATATTTTGTTGATCAACATTTTCATTTTTTGTATTTTCTTTTTTTTTCTCTTTTTTTATTCTGCTGCTTTGATAGAAAATAAGTACTAGAAAAATAAGTACTAAAATAAGTACTAGAAGAAAAACTAACACAGTTTTCTTAAATTTACAGAGAGAAAAAGAAATGATTAATCTTGGAGAAATCTAAAAATCAATGGAGGATCATGTGCACTCAAATATCTAATTATATTTACAGTAAATAGGTTTAAAAAAGACAAAAATTAATGTCGCTATAAATCTTCCACATAATGTTTCTTGTCAATAAATGTACTCAAAAAAAGGCGACAATTTAATTAATTATCAATAATGAATCAATTATTACTAATAAATGCTTAAACTAAAAGAAACACTTTACAAATTATTATTGTAGGACATAATACAATGCCTTATGTGTACAGAGGAAGAAAGAATTCTCTTGGGAAAAAGAAAATAAATTCATTTTCTCGCAATATGCCATTGAGTAAACAAACATGAAACTTACAATTACAGTTCGAAAATAATAGTTTTCTCGATAATTTGCGAAATCACGTTCTCGCCCATGTGGAAAATTATATCGCTCCGGAATCAATTCAGATTTGGAGTTCTATTGTACACTTTCGCCGGTTTTCTTCGGATGCAATTTCCCTGGTTCGCATTTCCGAAACAAAGTTGCGTTGTCCTTCAAAGATTCGTAACAGGCTTGGGAGGACGCGATTCCCAGACGACATTTCCAACCATTGAGTAATACGATTTGTACACCCGGCGAACATCGCTGCACATAAGCAATGCTGAAGGATTAATGTAATGGCGTATCGTCTCAAAGGATCGCAATAATTCACAATCAGGAAACAGAGAGTACTATGATTAAAGGGATAGATGGATTACTTTAGATTATAATAAAAAAGAGAATTTGGAATTTAAAATTATTCGATTTTGCATAAAAAACATTTATTTAATGCTGCACAGAAAATACTTTATATTATTAGATAAAAAAAGGAAACTCGACAATATACATAGATTAAGAAACACATAACAAAATTTTTTGTTTTATATTTCAATACGTCGGCACTTAATTTCAATTATTAATTATATTATTTGCTAAATAATTATCTGAATAATATAGTAAAAACATTCATTTATCTGTTAAGTTTTTCGGTTATAATTAGTTTATTTAAAAAAGATTTCCCTTCCAAATTATTTTAAAAAACAAAAAATTATATAGATGAAAGGATTAGTGCAATTCTAAAATTCGCTAATTAGAATTGACCTTTTTAACTTAGGACACGCTATAAAGAAGAGTGTAGATCCATCATCGCCTACTTGAATTTTTTGTGATATTGTTCCGACCATGTATGTATATTCATTATGTATATTTATCTGTATGTATATTCATTATTCAGTACTTTGTAGTGCACGTATACTTGCATGAAGACACTTAATATGCTTGCTTCTAACTGCAGACATCATTACACACAGTATATGGGCGAGATGCAATTTATCATCGTGCAACTTAGCAACCGTCGTCGTCGTGCTCAACATAATCGATTTCCATTGCCGTATTCATTCAAGGATATGAGCACCGTAGATCACGAGTATTCTCAAGCTAAAACTGCACTTTGGACGATTTATAATTTGTAATAATATACTATTACTTTGTGCTACATATAATACGTCTAAAACAATTAAAAAATTAAAATATACATAAAATTGCGATTTTAAGGAATTCCAAAATTTTTAATTTAAGGATTCGTAAATGCAAAAATCAGTAGAAATAGGAAAAGGACAGTTTCTGCAGTATGTTACATTTGTCTTTGTAAGTTGTAATTTTATTAATTTTCGGTTTTTACTTGCTTTTTGACTTTTAATTTACACGCAATCAATTTCATGTAACTGATTACGTTGACCATTAATTCAATCTATGAACCATGTACATCTATATTCTAAGTCTGGAACATTGATGATTGTAATTAATATCTATTTCTCGCGAGTAATCGAAGAATAAACTTCCAAAAATTGGATTTCATTGACATACTTTGGCTTCACCACTGTTAATTAAGGAGTATATTATGGTATATTCTTACAATAAAATGAAAGATTATAACAGAAAGTGAAATGAAGTTCTCATAACTATTGTTATTATTGTTAATATTTATTGTTAAAGTATTGTTGTATAAATATTGTTAATATTTTATTAAGATATAGAAAGTTAATTGATTTATACACGAATGAAGAGAATTAAGTAAAGCTCGAAACGTTCTGTAAAAATGTCATCATAGAAAAATAAAATATATTTTTATTTATCGGTCATCTTAACGTTGCTCGTTCAATATAATAGACCTTATATTTTAATTTGTTATTGCTCAGAAAAAAAGAGGATATAAATTAAAAGTCAAAATTAAAATTTTAAAAACAATTTCCAATTTTTTTTTATTTGTTATTTTCTTTCTTTTTTGTATCGCATTATATCTAAGATTATGATCTAGAAAGGAGTAGGATTCTTTAATTGTTACTATAATTAAGTTGTTAAAGAGAAAGGAATCGACAATTAGTCTTCGAGTTTCACTCTCGAGAGGAAATCCCGTTTTTTAACCTCTCAATGTTTTTCCTCGTAATAGAATATAATAAATATAATTCACATTACGTCAAAGATATACATATATAATAAAATATAATAAAATATAATAACATTTTAATATTATCAAACTTGTATTATATATATATAACATTTTTATTGCCTAACTTGTACTATTAATATTGTTAGAAATAATAACACGCAGTCAGGGCAAAATACATCATTAAAGTATTTGAAATACAAAATACAAAATACTGACAATCTTAGTAGTTGAAATATAAAATACAAAATACTTTCGATTTTTCAATTTGAAATACAAGATGCAAAATAATTTTAAAATTTGTATTGTAAATATAAAATATTATTTTAAAATATAAAATACAAAATATTTCTAAAATTTATATTTCAAATACAAAATATTTTTTTCATACAAAATACAGAATACAAAATATTTCCAAATTTTTTATTGTAAATACACAAAGTAAGATTGGAACAAAATAACTGATTTGTTTCAGTTACTTTTTATAAATGTCCCGGCATTATGTGCCTTATCATAAAAAAATTAATAAGGTTGTTTGATAGATGATAATATAAATAATGAAATCGTACGAATTCATCGCTAAGTGATATTGTGATAGCATCGAAACTGTCGACTTGAAAGAAAAATTATAC